GGGGGGGGGGGGCCCTTAACGGTTTCTTGCACCGGGGCCCTGAGGTTTCTAGTTACGCCTCTGACAAGAAGTTATTGAGAATAGAAGAAACACTTTCTTAATAGTACTTCATACTTAGACCATAAAAAAAGTACAAAATATGTTCCATTTTCAAATTTGAAACCTTAATATAATGATGACGATGATGATGATACTGTTTAGTCTTTGACATTCAGAAGCAGGATGAGACAGCGTGGTTAAAATACACAGTGTACATACACTGGAAAAAAAATACAATTCTGCATCAAACACATTCTAAAAAAGCTTATCTTGTCTAAGCTGAGCAATGAAAGCATACATCTACATGGTTGCTCTGAGCAATGCCTCCCCCTCCCCATAGTAGTTCCTTTTTTTTTTAATTAAACCTTTCAAGTGTAGTACAATGACATCCTGTAAAGGGCAGTTACCCATGGAAACTGCTCTTTCAGGTTACACACATCAGTTTAGTGGCAGATGAATTCTGATTGATTGTTATGGATTACTGTGCTTTGAATTTGATATAAGAGAATGCTTAGCAAAGCATTCTACTGGGGAAAAACAGTTAAAGTAATTACAATGTTCCAGTTGTCATGCTGTCTATTTTTCAACATCTTATAAACAAGCTATGGTAAAACAGGTGCCATTATTGAACTAACTTTTAACTATGTAAACACTGCAGACACATATTTAATTGCTGTTTGAAACAATGGCTTAAAGTGGAATGCAATTCCCCGCAAACAATTATTATGGTCTGTTGTATAAAGTGTGACCTGTACCACCTGTTAGTTGATAAATACCTCAGCAACTGTTCAATTACAAAATAATCCCAATACTGCTCAACTCAAACAATTATATTTCATTAGAACACAACCTTTACTTACATGTAACATAATTTGAATCTATATCTAAAGACATACTGCATATACTGTAAGTACATCTGAATCTTGCTTACTGTTTGTAAGAGTTGAATACTCTCGTTTATATTGACATATATTGACGTTTGGTTTTGGACATTGATGTTTCTATCACCTGGATGTAAATATTAATGAACAGGGCTAGAATTAAATAATGAGCCCACAGGCTACCTATACCACAGATATTAGTGACACAGTACAGTTTCTGACATATTCTATATAATATATAGTAAAATAGAGCATGTCAATTACAGGAACATATACGGTATGTACTTATTTAAAAATTCACACAGGGGTTTAAACCATTTGCTACTCTATCCAAAACAAAAAAGTTTTTTTAGTGACACACTTTAAATATGACCAACCTGTTGATGCCTTGGAAATATGCCACCTTTGGCATTGGCACGTGTGGCTGTTCCTCAAATTCAAGTTTGTTTATATGTGTAAGTGTGAAAAGCTTACATACCATGCTCAGTTGGGTACATTTACTAAAGCAATGGAGGCTGTTCACTTGGCAAAGTTAAAGGTTACAAATGGTTAAGCTGTGTTGACTTTAAAAACCTAACCATGTGCTAGCAAAAACCCTGTTCTTTCAATTTCCCTTGCACATAATTCGGTATTCAAAGTCAACACGGGTTCTTCTTACTTACCAAAATGAAAGTTGCAAAGTGAAAAGCCTTTACCCCTTTAGTAGCTCAACCCCACTGTGCTTCTTAGAGCCTATAACATTTCTGGCATTATTATTTCCTAACTCAATTAGGCATGCAGAGTTTTATGTAATAGCCCCTTTTGTGACATTTTCAGTATGTAGAAAGTTAAAAAAAATAAACAATTTGCATAACTCATGAAAAGTACAATACAATGCATTTCAGTTTTTTACTAAAGCTTTAGTTTTGTCTCCTAACATAAAGGGTTTAATAGTTCCCACAGTTCCCCTTAGAAACAACAGTTGGATATTGACCTGAAATTGATTAGATTATATCACTAGTGAAATACAGAGGTTTCAATGAAGAAACATTTTATATCATGGTCATGCCTAATATAAGATCTCATAATTGCTAATTGCTGCAGATTTGAAAGAATCCAGAAGGTCCATGCAGAGGGATCCTCTTTATGAGGTGATCTGGGACCAAAAGGGAACTCCAGTTTACATGAAAATTTGCTTTAATGGGGAAATGTTTAATATTGCAATTAGTGATGGCCTATCAGCATTAGTAGTTTTAGTAGTATGATTTAATGTGTTATATTTATCATATTTTTTATGTAAGGGTCAAATAATCTACCACTATTCTACCATTTACATATCACAGCTCTACTTCCTGCTATTCCACTGACAGACAATGCTTGTGCTTTACCGCTTTTTCTCACAATGAAATGTATGAGTCAACCCTTCAAAAATAATTACACTCATTCACTGTGGCTATATTTAATACAATGATAAAATTGTGGATGAGCACTCTTGTAAAAATGTGAAGGTCACATCAAAACACATGATAAACATTGCAAAATAAAAATATGAGCTAACATGCAATATATATGAAATGTTGCCTTACAGCACGTGTCCAGACCATGGACATTAAAGTTTTTGTTCATATTCATAAATTCAGTCAGGGAAAATTTTAAAAAAAATATGCAATGTAGTGCATGCACATTTCCCCATGTTGTCCTCTTTAAAGACCCTGCAAGTACAGAAAAAATACTTGTTGATTGGCAAGAATTAACTCAGCTATAAAGTCCCTTTGTGGACTGACAATACAGAATTTTTCTGGAGTGTGGTCAACCCTGCCTAGGTTTCTATTGCTAAGCTACTCAAACTCACCCACTCTCCCATCACTGAATGATTAGCATGAAAGCTAACAATTCTAAAGATATAAACTGGGAGGGCTAAATACTCTCATTAAAGGAGAACTATGGGGTTAGGGATTTTCCCCATAGTTCTCCTAAGGGTAATGGGAGGACACAAACTAGCGTCCTCCCGTCACCCAAAGCTCAGTATACCGAGTATACTGAGACGCTGCAGCTGAAGCAGATCCCGACAATTATTTCTGGATCCGCCCAGCTGCGTGAGTGACAGCTGGCTCTGCCTATCTAGCGGCAGAGCCAGCTGTACCCGCCCCCTCCCCCATCCGTTCTGCCAGTCAGCGCCGGAGGATCGGAGCGGGGAGGGGGAATCCAGTCCCTCCCCTGTCACGGCAGAGAGCCGTGACAGGATCGAGAAGTGAGCAAACGCCGGTATGTGTTCGCTCACTTCCCGATCTACTGAGCCGACCTGTGACAGTCTCATTGTCACAGGTCGGCTAGAGCTATGAGGTGAGTGAAAAGCACTCACCTCATAGTTCTCCTTTAAGATACCACAGGAATTGTGCACAAGACACAGCACAGCTCTAAAGTTCTAAAAAGATTACTGGATATATGTTTTTTTAATTATCAAACAGACATAACAAAACACTTTCAACTGTATATTTATCAGACCAAAATGGTGCAAACAAGAGAATTTAATTATTATGATTTACATACCCTTTAGCAAGCAATTAAGAAGCAGTAAAGTAGCTTCTAAAAAAGCCATCCCTGACCTCTCTAACTGCATGTTCTGTGATGTAATTCATCCTCAAAGATTACAAAAGTGTCTAAAGTTGGGTTTCACTTGGTGTCTAACAGCTGTTAAGGTTGTCAGGCTGCCAAGATTTTGCAGCAATAGAAAATAAAGGGGGAAATAAATGGAGATTTTAGTGCATCTAGTGAGGATTTTGAAGGCAATTGTATTAAAACGTCTTACAGACACAAAGGTGAATGGGGACTTGGTCTACAGTATTTTTTTTTTTCCCAACACAATTTTATTGGTTTTGCATTGTACAGTATACAGTATACAAGCTTGAGAGTAGTGAAGATAGTCCTGTCTGGTGACTCTGTAAGTGGACATTAGCTCCGAGAACGTCAACACTTTGCCCGTGGATTTGGATATAAGATTGTGAAAAGTTGATATCCCCTTTGTTTCCCATTTGGCGAAGGTTCCATATTCCACTCCCTGTGGGAATGCCGGATTACCTCTGATTAGTAAATGCTTGGAAAAATATGGATTAAGTTTCGCAATCTTGTGTGTCTCCCTCCAGGCTACCACTGTATCTCTAATGATGACATTCGTTCGAAACTGGAATATTTATGGCGCAGATACTCGGCAGCGAGGATGGGTGGTAAGATTCAGGGAGGCCCACGATCCGCACGTTGTTGCGACGTGAACGGTTCTCGAGGTCCTCAACCCGATCCAGGAGAAATTGTACTTGTTTAGTGTTGGTATGTAGCTGAGAGGCCGACGAGTCAGCTCCCTCCTCCAGGGTCACTATGCGTGATTCCGCCTCCGTAATTCTCTGGGCCTGGTGCAAGAGGTCCTGACGTAGGGATTGTATGCCCTTGGAGACTGCCTTGCTCACTGCGTCCTGGATGGTTGGCCGCAGCAGTTTGGCTACTTCAGCGGCAATCAAGCTGTGATCCGACATTGCCGGCAGCTCATCATCCGATGAGGCACCTAAGTCTCGTGGGTCGGGGGTTGCGACCATCTTGGTCTGGCTTTGCGGCCTTCTGCTGCGTACCGGGGTACCTTTGCCGCGAGGTCCGTTGCGCCGCTTCGCCAGGAACTTATCCATGCTTCCGTGGATCGGGTAAGCGTCTGTGATGTTTGTGGGCTAGGAAAGGCTGCTGGTTTCAGGTTTTATATGCGGTTTTGTGCCCTGGCAGTGCGGGAGCTCTGCACTCTGCGTCCGCTACATCAGGCGCCGGAACCGGAAGTCGGTCTACAGTATTTTAAAGTGGTATTAAAGGCAAAAGGGTTTTAAGCTTTTTCAAATGCTGATGGAATCACTTACAATTGATTATGCTCCCTGATTTTTAAAAGTTTTAGTTTCCTGCAGAATCAGCTGGTCCCTGGAGCACTGATCCTAATATCCTTTTGTAGGGTAACTTATTTTTCCCTGCAGGGTCCCATGGAGCCACCCCTGTGAGTTCTAGTAAGCTGTGTATGTTTTCATAAACACACAGACCAAACAGCAATCCATTCCCCTTCTCCCCACTACCTTCTTTTCTCTCCTCCCTTCTCCGAGCTAGTGAATGGACAGCTGCTGGAGACTGATCTGTCCCTTGTTGTCACCTTGTACTGGACCTGAAGTTCAGGGAAGTGGAGCTGAGGGAGATGTAGTTGTTCAGAAACAGGATGACTGTAAGTTATTGGGCAAAAAAGTAAAGAAATGCATTGCTGGAAAATGTATATTTGTTTGATCTGAATTCAACATTAAAAAGGTTTGAGAGTTTAATACTACTTTACCCGCTTGTTCAGAATATGTTAATATGTTTTATTTAATGTGCATGGTCTGGGAACAGGTTCATGTTAAAACTGTTCATACGACGTCCATTTTCTGTGCTGACCTGATCCGTACGCTCCTGCACTAAAAATGCATCCCAATGTATCCCTATGTGTTTTATGGGCTACAGTTCTCACATGCGCAGTCCGTTCAGGTTACGACAGAAAAATACTGCATGTCACATTTTGTATGGTCAGGAAACGGTCCGGGAACACAAAACACGTCAAAAACGCACTGCACTGCAGCTAACATACTGACAGCCCCACTTCAGCAAAAAAAATAAAGAAATATATATATTTTTTTTTAACTGGAACGCATCAAAAACGCGGCAAAAACACATAACCACGTCTGCAGATCCGCACCTGATCTGGACCTGAAAATCATGTGAACAGGCCCTTACAGGCTGTAACTAGACAGTGAAAGGATAAGCAGGAGAGTGAAGAGCTCATCTCTCTGTCATTATTCTATCGACTAACAACAAATTACCCCATGTGCTGCTTCTCCCCTCCTGTCCTGAGCTCTTATCCTGCAGTAGAATTCAAGAGGGTATGAGCAGGTCAAATTCAGGTACTTACATTGCTTTTAGTTTACAAAAATACATTGATGATGTATGCATATGTCGGACTGCATTTATTTGTGTCCTTTATATCTGCCAGAAATTCAGCTTTAAAGAGTAACTCAACTTTCAAAAGATAAAAATTAGAAAATCTTTAAAATATTTAATGTTATCAAAAACTACCTTTCCATTTAAAACTACAAAAATCTGCCACAGAAATGCAATGCAAGAGGAGAGAGAAGAAGGAAGTGGGGAGAAGAGGAATGGCGACCAGGTGGTGTTCTGTATACACTTGGTATATGGAACACCCCCAGAAATGTCACTTCCTGCTTCTGTGATTGGCTGACTGATTTTCCCAGAAGTCTGCGCTAAGATACAAGTAGAACATTGTGGCATCCCTTGCAATAGAATTTCATTTTTGGGGAGATACTCCCTAAGGGTTAATTATTAGTAAATGGATGCAGACACTGCAACATTCCCTATTATAACCCAGGAAGCCCACTAGCTGATTATAATGAACCCAGACCCTCCCATTCAGGGATCAGTTTGGAAAGGTCCTGCTGGAATAAGCAGCTTTGTCTTTAGAACAGAAACAGGTAGGAAACTTCTACTAAGTTGGTTAAAATCCTTGTAATGTACACAGAACACCCAGAGGGGATTGTTTGCCTTTTCCCATCAAACGTGGAATGACTCTTTAAAGTAGAATTAAGGATTGTTTAAGTGGTTAAATAAATACCATGCATCTGTTCACTTAAAAGTATAAATATAAATTGCTTGATTTTTTATATTTGTTAGAATGTATTCATTTCACAATTGCATAGACACATGTAATATGAACCGTCTTCTTATAGTATAGTTTTATTTGTATATCACATTAAGATCTAGTTTAAGAGACAAAAGCAAGCTGATACATTCTTCATAATTTGGGTCTGTAAAACTGATTTAAAGCAGAAGACATATTTATTTCTTCCAGAAGCATTAATAGACAATATTTCACATGGAGTTTTAAAATAAGTTAATTAATTTTTCATTTTAAAACATTTATCATGGGATTTATTAAACTATAGCAAAGGGGTAATATTAGGCAATATATGCACAAATCACGGAAAAAAAATATTCTCATTCCAAGATGTCTTTTCATGCCATTAAGTCATTTTACATTTTTTTAACTAGGACTTATGTCTCATCATGCATTGGCAACATTTTCAATGTTGCGCACATTTACTACAATTTAACTAGGCATCTTAGCTTAGCAACAGGTAATTTAGCAACATATTCTTTAGGGAATAATGAATACTTATACCAAACATTTCTATGCACAGCACTACACATTAACTAAGTTCTAGTTTCAAATAAATTGGGAATTTCACAAAATAGTGTACCACCCCTCAGCACTGGAAATACTTTTTAAATTCCACTGCTTATGCTCGTTGGTTTTAACACAACTACACTAATAGTCATGATGAGGGATGAATGATAGTATCTCGTACCATTTGGTAGCAGGTGATTCTGTTGAAGAGAGTTCAGAGGATGAGTAACTGGAAGGTTATGCTGTCCAGGCAAGTTGGGATGGTTTACAGAGGCTTGTGATCCTTGGGTAGGGAGAGACTGAAGCTTTTCTTTCTCCCAAGAACCATCACTGCTCCCTGTAGAAATGAATATACATTATTGGGATTTAGGATGGTGTCTATAATTTACAAAACCATTGATTGAGCAGGTAAGCCTTATTTTATTGGCATTGTACTTCAACATGTTTTCAAATGAAAGGTATGATTTTAAAATTTACAGTGAATGAATGAAACATAATTGTAGCTATGTTGACACATACATAGTGTATGTATTGCCTTATCATTTAATTCAGGACAGTTATACACTTTACTTTCTTTAGTCATCATTGTGTATAAATATATACAAGGATTCATTCTCACTCTCCTCCAACCCTCTAGCTTCTGCTAAAAAGCTGGGGAATAGCTGGTGGAAGGAATTCATCAAACACAGAAAACATTGGTCCATTGTCCTCTACTACCTGTATTTTAGAAAAGCTGGCTCAGAACATATTTAGCACTTTACTGATTCAGCCATTCTGCCAGTTTTTATATATATAATTGTATAAATAAAGTGCCTGGAAACACAGCAAGATAATCCACAAGGCAACCTAGGCAGCAGCACAGTGTTCAGCAGCTCTCCAGGCTTGGGGGGGTAAGTACAATTTTCATTCTCCTGCAGTAAACCAGCGGGAGGATGCTATTGGCCAAAGCTGTGCACCGTCCTGTTACTTCACAACGAGGATGAACTTGCGTGCAGAAGCTGTCTGATGGAGTAATGCCAATACAGGCAATGCAAATGGTTGTAGCAAACATCTTTGTACATGCTGCAATCCTAATGAATCTTAACAGAAAGGACCAGTGGACAGATTGGGACCTTGCCTAGGCCCCCATTCTACCTTAATGCATCTCTGCCTAGAAAACTACTCTAAAACATGTGCCTATATCTGATTGTCAAGCTTTGAAGTGTAAATGTTACGCATCAGTGATCCATTTACACAAGTCACCACTAAATCCATTTGCTACATCACACAATCAAACGAAACCCAGCTGTGCACAAGGCAAATGTCTTCAAGATCAGTGACTTGAAAATACTGAAGCCAATGGATCAGTATGACAGTCTGACAGCTATCATGTTAACAGGAGGTTTGAATTGGCACTCCTCATATCTCTTTTAGTACATATCTTCTGTAAACCTGACCTATCTGACCCAGGCAAATAAAAAACACTTATTATCGCACTGACATTATGCATTCATTAAAATGTTTTTAAATTTATTGCACTTACACAATGGCACAGCACCGTTACTGACATTTCCGTTTAAAAACGCTTACCCAAACCAAGTTTGGTTTTTTTTGAGTTGCTCACCTGTTCCAAGCAATAGTTCTGACTTCATTCTTACTTTATTCACTACATGCGTATTTCAGGTTAGTGAGTCAGATGGTATGGAAACTAGTAGAGAGGGAGGGTTAGCACTAGAAACTAATCAAACTGCTATAGTACATGTGTGTGTTAACAGAGAACACTGTGGCAGGGGGACAGAGCCAAAAGAGCACAGTAATGACTCATTATTGTCCAATCAGTAGTGTGAGGGTGTGCTCTTGAACAAGCTTTGCTGCAGCTGCCATTAAGTTGAGGACCTGGCTGTGCTATTTAGCAGAGCTGTCTGGATCACAGGACTAGCTACTCGGAATTACAAATTCTTTTGACAGGTAAAACAGTTTTCAGTTTCAACTGCGTAACTGCTTTGAGTTCAGTTTTAAACACATATATTAAATTAGTACAGAAAAGTGTAATTTCTGCATGACCTGTGACCCAATAAACAACGCTAACAATTCAAATGCTTTCCTTAATAGTCCATAGTTAAATAACACATTTTAAAGTTAAAAAAATGCATATATTTGTGTATAGCATATGGAAACTGAAATTATATTATACTTTAAGACTTTTTTTGAGTACTTCAAACACTTTTAGAGCCAATTTGTGTATCTTGCTATACTGCAAATCACTCTGCACTGTTTCCAGTAAAAGTGCTTTAATTGTTGCCTTTTTATTGTCTCTGTCATGCCTATGGAGATTTGCATACACTATACATTCACATTGTGATTTCATGTTCTTCTAAAATGCTACGTACAAGCATTTTATCCTAATGAATAAATGACTTTGTCCTTTATGTATAAAATATAGTTTATATTTGTTGCAAGAGATTTTTAATAATAAATGATTTTAGGTTTGCTTGAACATATTCAATAAAGTGTGATTAATTTGGTTTTTCAAAAATGCAAACTAGACATTACTATATTACTTTGCAAAATGCACAGCTTGCAACATTATTGTCTCAGTGGGATCTTAAATTGAATTGTAAAATGTGTCTTATTTCCAGTTTGATTTATGTAAGAAATTGCAGAGGATAATGCCCTTTTTGAAGTTTCATTGCTTCCTGAATGAAAAAAATACTACTCAAGAAAGCATGTTATGCAGAGCTGTAAATTATAGACAAACTGTAATGCATATTTGTGACAAGGATGTCATGTCCCCATGTTTGATTTTTATAACTTGTTTTTTTTTTATTGCTGCTTTGTATTGTGGCACATCATATGATGAATCTAACAGCACACATACTCTGTGATTTTATTGCTCTAGTCTAAGTAATTACAAAATCTTTTTCTACTTTAAAAAGAATCTTCTGTGCCCTAGGAATTAATCTATGATACCATTTACCTTAGCTTTTTGAAGTAAATATCGCTAGATAAAAGCCAGCTGCCTCTGTATAATTGAGTACTTGAATAAATGTGACAGTGTTTGAAAATGAATACAAGTATTCATACAGAAAAAAAAACTTGGAGTTCTATAACAGAAAAAAATCTGAAACATAATCATCAACCAATAAAAACCATCACAAATAGTAAATATGGTCCTTGTTTGTATAGCATTGGCTGTTTCTTCTATCATTTATAAGTAGAAATTATTTACACAGTTGACATTAGTTACATGTCAATGTGAAGCATGGAATAATGTAAAAAAAATATACATTTTAATGATTTCTGGAGAAGTGTGTGATACTTAGAAATAATAATATTACATTCATGCATGAACAGGAAAACAAAGCATAAATGAGGATTGAAACATACAATATGAACACTGTATTGCAAAGACATGCACTGGAGAGCTGATAATGATGCTGTGAATTCAGCAGGACAGGGGCTATTGTTGATGGCCCTCTACAGGAAGCCCAGGATTCCAAGAAGCACTTGCAGGATCAAAAGGTACATGAGATGAAGTGACAGGGAGTCTTCATGATTAAAGTTTTTTTTCCCCTCCCCCCAATGTTAGTGTAGGGACCTTAAATGATGCCTCTTAATCCGATCTTCTTCTTCCTTACTGTCATTTTTAGCTGTCCCTCCAGTGCTGCTGCCGGTCTCCGATCCAGCGCTGACACCTCTGTTCTCCTCTTAGCTCATGTACCACAAAGTCTGTGTGGGTGCACGCTGCTCCATATACTTACCTTGTGTCTCTCCTCATCTCCTGGCCGAACATCTAAAATGCGCATGCGCCCATCCCAAGATCCTTGGCGGCCGCCCGTGAAATTTTCAGATGTTCGGATGGGAGCGCGTGGCGAAGACAAAGGTAAGTTTAAACCTGTTTCAAAGGTTTAAAAAAAAAAAGTTTTTGCATATATCTACTGCTTGCTAGCAGTAGATATATGCAAAAAAGTGAGGGTTTAATAAACCTTTAACTGTTATTGTTTGTATACTCAAAGCAACACAAATGTGCAAATAGAGATTGTTTTGTAAGTGGAGTTTTACTGCTTTACTGGAAAAAAGCCTGCTGGTTACAGAGCTCAATAGCTCAAGCTTATATTTATACACAGTGAATGATATGTATTTACTAAAGAAGCAGAGATATATATTACTTTGCAAAGCAAATGTTCATTTAACTGAATAGGATGAAACAGTGTTCATATCACTCATGTGCAAGCAAAAATCCAGTTTTGTTTTTTCAATTTTCCTTGCACATACATAGGGAGTCTGTTTACAGGTCCCTTCTGCCACAGATGTAGTACTTACGTTCCTGGCAGCAAAGAATTAAAGGGAATGTAGTAGTTGCTACATATTTTACATGTTTATTTATTATGATCAAAACTAAAACCAGTGGGCAGTGACTCATGCCTTATCAGTCCAAAGCTTCTATCAAGGGAGCTGCAAAGTAATTAGCATCTGCTGTGCTGTCCCTTTAATTCATAGTGCTGTGTGAACGCTTTATCATGTATTAAATGTTTATTAATAAAACAACTTGTATACACATAGTGTAAAACTTATATGAAACAACAGTTTCAAATTTTTAAAATTAAAATAATAATACAGCCTGAAAACCATTACAGGTTTTCTTTTAACATGTTAAAAACAATGTAGAAAAACAATTATAACTTCTTATCTAGTTTCTACTGTCACCTTTCTATAGAGCAAATAGACAAAATCACTGCTTCACTAGGTTGTTGAAACCTTTCCCACTGTGATTATGTGGGTGAAATATACAAACTATATGTATAATGTCACTATAAAGTAAACTTGTCACACACCTAGGCTTCAAATTAAGTATATGATGACAACATGCGTAAGCCTTCGCCTTCAGCTTCAGTAAAATGTATGCATGTTAAATGGTCAGTAGCTCTAGACTGGTGAATGATGTTTCATACATTCCCATTTATTATTGAATGCCAACTGTGATAGGAGAATATTGTAATCTAGAGCAGCTCAGTGGCTGATATTCTAATGTGAAAAGAATTTAAGTAAACCTAATGCTAGAGAGCCACTTAAAAACAAGGGGTTGCATTGCTAATGAGAGATGATGTCCAACATCATTGACATATCTTATTAGAGGCATTTAACTGGTTCCTGAACAACAGGAGAATGGACAATTAATATTTTGTCTTAAGTCTCTCTGGGTAGGCTACACATTTATCTTTAATTCATATTACACAAAATTGCTAGTATCTTTTAGAGGTAAAAAATTATTACCATCAAATCAATCACTTGTAAGGATGATGTAAATAATGTATTATCGTCAAAAAGTACCATAAAAGTAACAAATGATATAGGAGA